TCCCATGTTACAACGTGAACACCTGCACCTTATAGAGACGTGCGGATACGTTATGCGATATGTACATTATTTTTTTTAAATATAGTGGTCCGGAAATTACGGTAATCTGAAACGATTATCTCCGATTATTTTAATCAGATGGTCTCAATTTATTTATTTTTTTAATTTTTTTTTTCATATTTCTTCTAGCCTTTGCTGAGCTGCAAACTGACATTCAGGAACTGACTAATGACATGGACGGGGTGAAGATTCCCTTCCTGGAATATCGGACGTACACCATGAGGGTCATGTTCCCAGGCATAGAGGAACATCCGGTGTTAAAAGAGCTCGATGTACGTTTAAAGCACACACACACTCACACTCTGTACACTTTTTTTGTGACAAACTGAAACTTTTATACTTGCACTAAGAAAAATGTGACATCAGGATTATGTTTAAGGTTTAGGGTTTTAACCGTACACTCTGTGCTCCAGTCCCCAGCCAACGTGGAGAAAGCTTTGCGTCTCTTCAGTCAGCTGCTCAACAACAAGATGTTCCTGCTCACCTTCATCCACACTTTGGAGGGTCAGCGATCCTTCTCTATGAGAGACAGAGGGAATGTGGCCTCACTGCTGATGGCTACTTTGCAGGTATCTCATCGTAGAACCTAATGTGAAAGACTAATGTTGAAAATCATGAATTCATGTTTTGATCAATGAAAATGTGGTAATGTTAGTTATTCCCGTCCATTTATACATGTGATCTGTGTGTGATCTGTGATCAGGGTCGTATGGAATACGCCACAGTGGTGTTGAAGCAGCTTTTGGCCGATCTGATCGAGAAGAACCTGGAGAACAGAAACCATCCTAAACTGCTGCTCAGGAGGTCATGCTCCTCCTTCGTTGATGATGACGTCATCACTGTGGTATTTAATTAGAGCGAGACAAAGCTCATCTGATGTTGTTGTTGCCTTTTTTTTTTTTTTTTTTTTAAAAACAAAACCGAGTCTGGGGGAAGATGTTGACCAACTGGTTCACCTTCCTGCTGCATCGTTTCCTAAAGGTAAC